GCTCGGAGCGACGAGCCCCGCCCGCCCTACCGCCCCTCCCTTCCCAGCTCCCCAGAGCCGCCCGTTCACCGTCGATGGCTCGGCAGCGCCACCTACTGGACGCCCGCTGCTACGTCCAGCCTGACAGGACTCAGGATCCCGGAGGCAGCTTGCTTTGCCCTTGGCGTCCCCAGTCTGGAATGCAGGGGAATGACCACTCTCATTAAATCAGACACCCAACTCTTTTAAAAAATTTTATTTGGAGGAAGGGTGCTCACATCCATAGTTGTTCAGGCCTTTGTCCTGGGTCTATACTGAGGGATCACTCGGACTGTGCTATCTTGTGTGGCACCTGGGCTGCCACGTGCAGGGCGAGGGCTCTACCTCCTGTACTATCTATCCGGGCCACCCCAGCTCTTAAAATTTCGTGATGGCTGGGGCTGGAGCGATAGCACAGCGGGTAGGGTGTTTGCCTTGCACGCAGCTGACCCGAATTCGATCCCAAGCATCCCATATGATCCCCAGAGCCCCTCCAGGAGTAATTCCTGAGTGCTTGAACCAGGAGAAATCCCTTGCAATACCGGGTGTGACCCAAAAAGCAAAAAAAAAAAATTCGTGATGGAGGGCCAGAGCGACAAGTACAGTGGGTAGGACTCTTACTTTGCACACAGCGAAACCAGGTTCAATCCCAGCATCCCATATGGTCTGAGCATTTCCAGGAGTGATCCTTGAGTGCAGAGTCAGGAGTAAGTCCTGAGCACCACCGGAAGTGGCTCAAAAACAATTCTGGGTTGTTTTTTTAGACCACACCCAGCAGTGCTCAGGGGTTACTCCTGGCTCTGCACTCAGGAATTACTCCTGGTAGTGCTTGGGGGACCATATAGGAGGTCCGGGATAGAACCTGGATTGGCCACGTGCAAGACAAACGCATTATCTGCTGTTCTAGCACTCTGACCCAACAACAAAAAAATTGTGATGGAGTCATATAAGACTGAACATGAGAAAAAAGTTTCCCTGCCCTTCCCACGATGCCTGACACTTTACCTGATACTTAGCCCCACCCCGGGGTGACAACATAGAAAGATGAAGTTTGGGATATTGAGGTATGACTCTGGTTATATCCTGGGCTCCTGCCCTCCCTCTCGGGGTGCAGCCCTGAAGGATGCCAGCACAGCAGGTGTGACCCTGGTGGTCCATCAAGGCACCACAACCTCAGGCCCTTGCATTAAACGGTTTGTAGGAGTGGTCCTCATACCCTGACCCTGAGTACCACGTTGGAGGCGCCCTCCCCCCCCAAAAAAAATTGAAAAGCTATTGCTCCTAGTGAGAGCAAGATCGCAAAAAGCAGCCCTGGGCTCCTGCAAAGGAAGCAATTGCCTGCATTATTTTAAGAGGGGTTTCAAGTTCTACAGCCCCCCAACTTCTTTACCTCCCCCCACAGAGATGTCCAGGAGCTACTCCCAGCTCAGTACTAGAGTCACTCCCTGTAGTGCCCAGGGGACCATGCAGGGCTGGGGGTCGAACCAGCCTGCAAAGCCTGTGCACCGGCCTTTGAATTCACTCTGCAGTCTGCCACCATAGAGGGCTGAAATCCCTGTGAATCAAAACAGGACTCACTCATTATTTAATAAACATTTATTGAGCACCGACTGTGTGCCAGGCGCCGGAGCAACATCAGTGACTAACACACAGTCCCTGTCCTTGAGGAGCTCACAGTCTACTGGAGGGGAAGCAAACAGGCAGCTCAGGGGCTACCGTGTGCTAAGTGCTACAGTCAGAGGTATATGCAAAGTGCTGTGGCAGCCAGAGGAAGGAGCAATGAATTGATTGCTGGCGGGCGGAGGACGAGTCCTCTTGACTCCATCAAACCACGGCCAAGGAAGGGATGTTGCTGCCCATCTCCCCGGTTACACTGAACCTGTCTCCCGAGGTTCTTCTAGCCCTCGGGGCTCACCATCTCAGCGCGGTTTATCGGACTCGCCAGTTTAACACTTTGAGTAGGAAAGAAACTGGACAGGGAAGTTTCTTTAGGGGTAAAGGATGCTTGAAGTAACAAATCATGGATGCTAAAACCAGGGGTGAGGGTACCATGAGGGCACCCAGGCCAGGATGGACAGATTGTGAGTAGTGGGGCACCTGGTGGTGAGCGCCAGTGCAGAAAGAGGTTCAGAGTTGTCAAGTCCCTCCACTTTTTTTGGTCTCTGTGTTCCACCAGCTCCAGTAGTAACCATGTAACCGTTAGCTGATGCTCACTATTTTGTAGTGTGCCCCATCTGTGGAAAAACACAGTCCACTACCCTGCTCCCCTAGAAGGGAACTATTTGTCTCCCCATTTTTAAGCTATATTAAGTAACAGTTTTTTAAATTAAATGGAGGAGATGTCACAGGCTTTTGTTCACTTGTTACCAAACAGTAGCTAATGTTGCTGCTGAACACAACTCAACAGAGGCTGGTGTAGGTGTGCAGAGTCCAGAAGGGAGATGAAGGATGGATACAACGTGTGGGTCCCCTCAAACAAAAGCGCAGATGACTAGAGACTGGCGGAAAGAGAAGGGAACAGAAAGATAGGGCTGCCAAGTACAAAATCCTTGGGGGCAGGGAGCAAAGTGAGGGGGGAAAAGAACCTTCTTCAATGATTGCTGTGAGCCCCGAAGTGCCATAGCCCCCTCCTTCTGCAGGACTCCTGCAATGTCTCAAGACTCCACAAAGAAAAATCTCCATGCTCAGCATCCAGACCAGAACAAAGCAGAGGGTTCGAGTTCGGAGAATCACCAATCTACAGGCAATGAGGAACCCCCTATGGGCACTGCAGTAGAGGGAGAAGTGGTGTCCTGACTGGTGCAGGCAGGGGAAGGGCAAAGGGAAGCAGGTCGCATATAGGGACTGCGTGCAGGGTGAGGCGGGAGAGGTGGGCTGGAGAATTGATGAACAGCAGGGAAAGGTCTGGAGTGTATGAAACTTTGCATACTGTGATGGGCTTCAGAAGGGGATGGGCCAGTGGTCAGTGACTCCCTAAGTTCACGCTTGGAAGGTCCAGGAGATGGTGGCCCAGTTCATGGACATCCATTTTTGGTGCAAAAGCTCTTTGGGTGTGACTGCTCTGCCAATACGAGGGGGGAAAGCTACAGACGAGTCTGAGGAATAGGTGAGAAGGGGTGGGCAGAGAGTCGTGGTGTTGGCTTGGGTGGCAGAGGAAAGTAGTGTCTCACTCCATGAGGCGGAGGACATTCAGTATCACTAGGAAGAAGTGAGGGACCTCCAGGTGCTGAGCTCTAGGGAATAGGGGTGAGAGGGGTCAGGACTGTCCTTCACCAAGCCAGGACATGCCTCAGTGCCTGATATTTGACAGGTGACCCTCTCCCCAGAAGTTACTGGGTTCCCTCTTAATGAGGGAATTGGGGTCGACACGCTCCTGGATGGACCCACCCTGGGCTGATTGACCCACCATCAGGAATTGGTCATGGTGAATGGCTTTTCATTAGAAAAAAAGGCACCTTCGGCCCAAGTGCTGGAGATGGCTGACTGTGCGTCCTCAGACGGGCGAACAGTCAGAGAAGGTTCCGTTCCGGGTTGGGCGCTGACTGGGTGTGAACAAGGCGGGATGGGGGGGGGTGGAGGATGAGGATGGCAAGGGTGGTAACTAGGAGAAATAAAGAAGAGCAACTTGGCGAAGTATTTGAGCCAAGTGGCTAGGCAGGAAGCGGATACACCGGAGGAAGTTGGCTTAGGGGCACAGGCCGCAGAAAGGGTTGCAGGCCTGCTGCAACCTGCTGCAGGCCTTGAGAGAGTGGGTGGGTTGGCCAAAGCTATGAAACTAATCAAGAGCGGGGGGGGGGGGGCGAGGATGTGGGGGGAAAAAGGCAGAGTGCCATGAAGGCTGATGCCTAAGCTGATCCACAAACAAGCAAGCCCCCCTCGATCTGGGCCCTGTGGCTGGTGCCAGCCAAGGTTCCAAGGTGCTCGCTTCCTTCTCTCTGCATTTTGGTCCCACCCAGCCTTCTCCTGGCCCCTTAGAGCTGTGTGTCCTCCACCAAACACGCAGCCCCAAAGCTCTTCTACCTACCCTGAGCTGGCTCTAACTCTGTGACATTTCTCCAACTTGGGGGGACGCAGTTTCAGTCTGTCCCTCAGCGTCTCCGAGAAACCAAATCTTGGGTCATACAAAAGGAACTAGAAGAACAATATCCCTAAAACAACAATCTCTTCGATGGGCTCAACAACACACCCCTCCCTCCCCCCCCCCCGCCCAAGACTCCCAGCAACCCCCGTCCCTGTCCTCCTCAAGAAACAGAAAACAGAAAACACAAGTCCACACACACAAACACAGATTCACATATGGGATAGTAAGTTCCCTGTGGAGGGAACGGAGGTGGTGAAGCCATTCAGGCCAGAGGCCGCTTCCCACCGAATGCCTGCACTAACCGCAAACTTCACAAACTCTTTCTCCCTCCATTGCGAGGGGAAGCCTCACAAGAACGCATCAACTCCGGCTCTCAAAGGCCGGGCTCAGATTCCAGGAATACTCAAACTAGGGGGCATGGCAGGACGTGGCTCTGATGATGAACAGAGATCTGAGATATCAATAACCCACTGAAATGCAAGGTTTAGCTTAGAGGAACCAAGATCTGAGATAGCAATAACTGACTCAAGTGCTAGGTTAGACTAGAGGAACCAAAATCTGAGATATCAATAACTCACTGAAACGCAAAGTTAAGCTAGTAGAACCCAGATCCAAGATATCAATAACTGACTGAAGTAAAAGGCTAGACTAGTAGAACCAAGATCCGAGTTGGCGATAACAGACTGAAATGCAAGGCCAGACAAGTAGAACCAAGATCTGAGACAGCCATAACTGAATGAAATGCAAAGTTAAGGGAGAGGAACCAGGATCTGAGATAGCAATAACCAAGCGAAGTGTAAGTCTAGGCTAGGCTGCTACAAAAGTCAGGCTGTATGAGTCTTCACCATCTGAAAACGCTGCTCAATCTTGTCCTGGTGCTTTTCATCAGCGACCCCACCACTTACAGGCTGTGGGGATCCCTCTTAATGAGGGAAGTGGGGTTGAATGGAGAGTGGGGAGCTGGGGTTGCTGCTTGGGTCAGCAGGCTCCCAGGTGGGACCACACTGGGCTCAGTCATTAACAGCGACCCAGAGCCAGAAGCCAGCTCAAGTTCAGCCACCGGGGTCAACCCAACCGTGGGGTGGTTGGGAGGAGAGAGATTTGGGGTGCCCACCAGGCTCGGAGTGTGGGAAGCCCTGGCAATCACAGGGGCAGACGCTGGCTGGAAGTGAACCTGCTCTCTGAGGAGCTCTCTCAGGGTTTCTTCTGGAACCAGGAGACCCTCCACCGGGGTCCCAGTCACCATGCCCTGCACGTAGGAGGTAGGCCCCTCCTTGACCCTAGGGACCGTCGCTGGGGTGCCACAAGTCCTGATGAAGGCCGCAATGACAGTCCCAGGGGACTGAGCGTTGGGCCTGGTGGGGGTGACCCCCACAGACGAGGTGTTGGCCACGGTGGTCGGGTGGTTGGTCAGAATTTGAGGGAGGCCACTGAGAATCAGTGGGGCCCCCCGTGCTGCCACCTGGCTCTCTTGGAAGGTGGCATTCACGGGAAAAGACGCCTGCAAAGTGAAAGTGTCCTTGAACGTGGCGCAGGTTGGCACAGTCTGCAGCACCAGTTGTGGGGCTGTGGAGGTGACGACAGGGGGCGCCCTGGTCAGCACTGTGGTCAGCGGGATGGTCTGCAGGGTCAGGCCCGGGCCCGAGCTCACGGGGGCCACGCCCAGGTGGATGTTGCTGGGCACTGAGGTGCTGTAGAGAACAGAGAAGGGGGACCGGAGTTGGTTAAGACCAGAGGAGGGAGTTTCCTTTCTGGGGTTGGTTTCAGGGGCGGGGGTGGGGGTGGCATGCCAATGACCGGTAGTATGCCATGACTGGCACAGTGACTGATCAGTGGTATGCCAATCATGGGCTGACCACTCATCATCTGGTTTTCCAGCTTGAGAAAATGGGGATTCCAGAGAGCTGGGATCACCCATCTGGTTTGTTTTGTTCGTGGACCACACAGGTGGTGCTCAGGATTTTCTGCTGGCTCTTGCACTCAGGGATCACTCCTGGAGGGTCCTTCGAGGACCTCATGGGATGTCAGGGATCGAACCCGGGTAGCTGTGTGTAAGGCAAGGACCCTACCCACTGTGCTATGCTCTGGCTCTTGTTGGCATCCGGGTGCCATGCCGTTGCACTTGCTGCCTGCCCTCGTGGCCTGCGCCAGCAGGGTGAGTGACAGGCCCACACATGGAACCCAGACCAAACCCCACCTTTCCCAGGAAAATCAGAGGCACCTTCGTGTGGATGAGATGTAGGGAGAACTTTCCGGGTGCACCTGGAGGTCCTGAGAGAGGCAGCTGGCGTCTTGGTAACATGTTTCTGGTGCTCTTTTCTGGAGTTGGGGAGTCTTGGGGGTGGGCCCAGGTATGGAGCCCCTGGTATCTACTTGGGGAGCACTATAGGGTAATCACAAGAGCCCCTGTTGGTGACAGAAACCGGCCCCACTCCAACCCCCCAGCCCAGATCAAACGACGCCTTCACCCTTCCTTTGGGGTATGGCCTTAAGCAAGTCACTTTGCCAACAAGTGACCCTCTGACAACCCAGGGCACAGGAAACACAGCAGAGTTGGGCCAGAAGTGGGGAAGTGCCCCCTCCCCAACCACCAACCCAAGGGAGTGCAGGGATAGAGCAACCTGGGGTCTCTTTACCTCATGGCTCTGGTGAAGGTGGCCTGGGTGTTGGCTGCAGTGACGAGCGTGGTGGAGGTAGTGGGGATCTCACTGTCTGGAGAAAGTTCCAATTCCAGACTCGCAGATGGCCGGAGACCAACCTGCTGATCTGACACCTTTTCCCAACAGGGGCTCCTCTTGGCCGCCGGGGAGCTGCCTTTGGCCTTAGAGCCCCGCCGGGCTGAGCTGGTGGAGGCAGTGGTCACGGCTGGGGAGGCTCCCGGGACCACACTTCCTTCCTCTTCATCCTCGATCACCACAAGATCCTTGGGCATCTCCTTAAACTGGTACACCAGCCTCTGCCCTTCCACCTTGGTCAGAATGCCTCTTTGGTAGTAATATCTGGTGAGACAGGAGTGGGAGCAGTGTGTTAGCCAAGGCTGACTAGGAAAAGTCATGTGGGCGCTGGAGGCAAGGGAGGGCGGGACCCAGCCAATAAAGGAAATTGAGAGATTTTAAGGTTTTTTCTTTTCTTTTTTTGGTTTTTGGGTCATACCGGGCAGGGCTCAAAGGCTTCTCCTGGTTCCGCACTTAGGGATCACGTCTGGCTGTCTTGGGGTACCACATGGGATGTCAAGGGTTGAATCTGGTTTGGCCAAGTCAGGCAAATACCCTACCTGCTTCATATTGCTCCGGCCCCCATTAAGGACATTTCTGAAATCTTCCCTGCAGAGGACTCAAAACAGTCCCCCAGATGTCAGTCTCCCAATGCTAGCCTTTATCCTGGATCGTGGAAGAGGATAGGCCATGAGTGGGGTGTGTGTTGGCGGGTGGACAATGATGGGGCTCAGCAATACCCCTCTGCCTAGACTGGCTCTGAGCTACAGAATGTGCAAGAGACCCTAAACATTTTCACTCCAGGGGCCAGGGAGTTTAAGGCTGGTGGTGGCTGACCTTGCAGGTGACTGACCCCAGTTCAATTCCCGGCACCACATGGCCCCTTGGCTATCACCAGGTGTAGCCTTGGAGGCTGCCAGAACTGCCTGGGTGGCCTAGGAAACTCCAACACTACAGGATCCAAGCAGCACCACATGCCTGAGCACTCCCCAAGAATCACCCAGGGCCCCCCCTCTGAGCCTCCTAAGCACCACTTGGGAAGCCATCATCCCCAAAGTTCTTTCTCTATAAAAAGAGAAAGGCTGGAATTGAAACACAAAGTGGGGGTGTGTTTCTCCTTCCTAAGGGAGTGGGCAGTGAACTTAGGGGCAAGTACTGCACAGGACTCTTCCTTGAGGGAGGAGCTGAAGTGGGGCCTTGGGGGAGCTCAATGGTGTGGGACAAACCTCTCGTGCAGGAGACCCTGGCTTCCATCCCTGGCACCACGGGGACTGGCAGGGAAGGTGTACAGGGATCTCCATTAAAATGAGAGGGACCGAGGAGGCAATTATGGAGATGAGGAAGGGAAATATGGAAGGAACGAGGGTCAAGGGCTGTGGGTCCATCAGTCTTGCAGGGAAGCGCTCTAGCTCTATGTCCAGACTACAGAATCAACAACACTGAAAATACGAAATGGAAACGACAGCCACCACCCTTTATAATGTGCCTGTCAAGGATGCACACTGGGGGCACCTCAAGGGAAAACCTAGGAACACCTGTGGAGGGAAGTTGACACTGGTGATGGGATCAGTGGTAGAATATGACATGTCTAAAATCTAACTATCGGTAACTTTGTACATGACAGTCCTTTGACAAAAACGCAATAACAGCTTGCTCCTCCAGCCCGTGTTCTCCCTCGAACACGTATCTCACTTGTGTGTCTGTTTCTTGGCTTGCCTGCTGCCACGCTGGAGAAGCCTGTGTTCTCTTTTATTTTTTTCCTTTTTGGGTCACACCCAGCGATGCTCAGGGGTTACTCCTGGCTCTGCACTCAGGAATCACTCCTGCTGGCAATGCTCAGGGGTTCCTCCTGGCTCTGCACTCAGAAATCACTCCTGGCGTGCTCCAGGGACCATATGGGATGCTGGGAATCGAACCCGGGTCAGTCACGTGCAAGGCAAAGGCTGTATCCACTGTGCCATTGCTCCAGCCCCGCCTGTGTTCTCTCTTGAGCGTGCATTCCATTCCTCTCTCAGCCCTGCCATGTCTAAGTAAGCTCCATTCAATAAAAATGTTCCTGCTTCACAAAACAAATAAAATCATGCCATTGTGAAGCAAAAAGTCAGACCTTGCTTTTTTGGGTCTTGGGTTTTGGTTTTTGAGCCACAGACCCGGCGATGCTCAGAGGTTACTCCTGGCTCTACACTCGGGAATCATTCCTGGCAGTGTCGCGGTGGGGGGGACTATATGGGATTTCAGGCATCAAATCCAGGCTGGCCGCATGCGTGGCCCGCACCCTGCCTGCTGCACTATCGAGAGAGGGAAATCTTCCCAAAGCTCGGACGCCTCCCTACTCCTCTGGAGTTCCTACCTCAGTGCACGCCCCATGGTCTCGTAATTCATGTCTGGTTTATTCTTCTGTTTCCCCCACAGCTTGGATACGGCCTTGGAGTCCACAAGCTTGAAGATGCCTTTCTCGCGCTGAGTCCACTTGATGTACTTAGGACAGGTGTTCCGGTCTTGCAGCAGTGCCAGGAGGAATTCCCACAGATAGATGGTGCTGCCTGCAGTGGGGGCAGGCAGTGAGGGTTCTCCTCCCACAGCAGCCCAGCCGCCCCCCCCCCCCCCACGGCACTCAGCCATACCTTTGCCATCCTTGGTCTTCTTGCGGATGGGGATGCTGGGGTCAGTGACCGGTGAGGTGCTACGGCTGCTTCTGGTCTTCCGGACTGTGGGGGGGGGGGAGAGAGCAGGAGGAATAGAGCCCAGTGAGGGCCAGAGGGTAGCCACTCACGAGGCAGTCCCCCAAGTTGCTTGCAAAAAGGTAGACCAGGAAAGAGTCAGGTCGCCATCCACTGTGGCTGCCCTCAGCGTGCCCTTACTAGTCCACTCCCAACGGCCTGTCTTAGTTTTCAGGAAGAGCTGAGAGCTGCTGTTTACAAACGAGCCCCCAGGTGAGACCAGACCTCGGGTAGTTTTTTTTCGATTTGGTTTTATTGGGTTTTTTTTTTTTTTTTTTTGCTGAGAGCTTTCACACAGGGCTTACTCCTGACTCTGTGCTCAGGGAACATTCCTGGTGGAGCTTGGAGGACCCCGGGGCTGTTGGGGATTGGGCCCCGGTTGGCTGCTTGCAGGCAAGTGCCCTACTGGCTGTGCGCTCTCTCCAGCCTGAGGCCTCTGTGTGGAGAGGCCAAAGGCACCATTAAGCTGCGTCAGTGGCGTGCAGGTACGCTTGGGCTGCCACGCTGACGAGGCATTATCGACCAGCCATGGCCTGAGTAAATCAATAACAACAGGGCTTGGGAAAGCCCAAAGTCCTCTTCCATATACAGCCGCAGCTCCATAAACTACGCAGAGAGAAGATAAGTGCATGGTCTGAAGGCACCCCCACCCCACCCCCAGCACACAGGGGTCCCAGCCCTGTCGGCGAACACCCAGCCTAGGCTTCAAGCCGCTGGTGTCATGGGCAGCTCTGGAAGAGCTGGCACAGATGCAGGGCTGACAAGCTAACCGATGAGGCCAGGTTTAAAAGCGGGGGCCGGAGCTGGAGTGATAGCACAGCGAGTAGGGCGTTCGTTTGCCTTGCGTGCAGCTGACCTGGGTTCGATTCCCAGCATCCCATATGGTCCCCTGAGCACCGCCAGGAGTGATTCCTGAGTGAAGAGCCAGGGGTAACCCCTGAGCATCGCCGGGTGTGACCCAAAAAGCAACACTAAATAAAAATATAGCGGATCTCTGTCCATCCCCCACGGCACAAAGTCGCACATCGTCCTGTTCATCAGATTGAACTTCCCCCCACCACCCCTAGGGTCTCCTGTGCCAGTCAGTGGACACACACACATTCTCTCACTCCCTTGCTCTCCCTCTCTCGATGCCTTCTCTCTCTCTCTCACTCAGTACTTTCTCACTCTTTCTTTTTTTTGGGGGGGGGTGGGGAGCCACACCAGGCTCTGCTCAGGGGACCCTATGCGGTGTTAGGGATTGAACCCAGGTGAGCTGTGTGCAAGGCAATCACTCCGCCCCACTGTTTCTGTCTCTCCAGCCTCTTTCGTGTTCTTTCTCCCTGTCCCCCTCCCCTGTGATCTCTTGCTCTATCATTCTCTCGCTTTCTCGCTCACTCGTCGTTCTGCATTCATCCTCTCGCGCTTACTTCTTTTCTTGGATTTGAGATTGGTCTTGGCGCTCTGGTCGGTGATGTTCTCTTGCGCAGAGTGCTCCACCTGGCTACCAGCACTGGGCTCAGAGGCAGGAAAGAGGCAGCTGGGCAGACTGACCGTGTCAGGAGGGTCTGCATCTGGCAGCATTTCGGTGGTGCTGACTGTGGGAACAGAGGTCTGATGTGGCTGGGACCCCATAAGGAGCAGGGGGCCTGGGGGGAGGGGATGCTGGGGGGTGGAGGAGGGTGTGTCCCCAGCACTGGTTAGAGAACAGGAGGGTCTCAGGGAGGCCAGAGGCCTTCACTCTGCACACCATGCGCAGGTCTATGGCAAGAGAGCCCCCGCCCCCCAATCCCAGCAGCCACATTTCCAGACACCACCACCCTTGCCAGCGGGGAGTGAGTACCAGGCAACAGCCAGGGTAGAGAGCCACCTTGATTTTGTTATTGTCTCACTTTCAATTCAAAAGCGGGCATAGATGGCATGGAGTCCACATTCCTGTGCTTTGACGCTGAGCAAAGCAGCCAGGCGTGGCTGGCCTGGTGCCCACAGCGACTCGGCCGGTCCCTGCACTCGGGTTGATTCTTGAATGACTATTAATCACTGAGCTGGGATGAGAAATGCCAAGTCTCTCCATCTGCAGTTTTAGAATGTACTCGATCCCTGTTATTTCCCTATACCCCCCTCGAGAAGAGGCTCTTAACTCCCACAGGTTTGGAGGCTGGGGGAGCATTCTGGAGAGGGAGGGGCTGGCCTCCAAGAACTGGAGGGTGCAAGGTGGATGTTCCAAGCCTGGAACCAGGCTAAATTAGCCCCACTCCAGAGTCTTGTTGCGGAACCAAGCCGGAAAGCAGGTAGTCTGGAAAGTGCCCACTCCCCTGCTGACTCCCCAACAGAGGAAGGCAAGCTCGACCCAGGCCCCAGTGCGGACACACCTTGAGAGGACCATGCTAAGTGGCATGGGTCTCACTCTATGGGTCCCGTTACCCCGAGGGCACCAAGAGTCATAATCCGAGACATAAAAGAGAAGAAAAAATGAGTAGAACTGAGTAACAGTACATTTGCCTTGCAAGCGGGAGACCTGGGTTGAATCCTGAGAGAGAAGAGGGGAGGAGGGCACGAAGGGAAGTAAGGGGAGAGGAGAGAGGAGAAGAGAGGAGACAAGAGGAAAGGAGAGGAGAGGAGAGGAGAGGAGAGGAGAGGAGAGGAGAGGAGAGGAGAGGAGAGGAGAGGGGAAGGGAGGGGAGGGTAGAGGAGGGGAGGGTAGAGGAGGGGAGGGGAGGGGAGGAGAGGAGAGGAGAGGAGAGAGGAGAGGGAGGGGAGAGGCTAGGAAAGGGGAAGGGAGAGGTGGAGAGGGGTTAGGAGAGTTGAGAAAGGGAGGAAAGAGCTGGGGAGCGAAGGTGGAGGAGAGAAGAGGGGAGGGGATAGAGAAGAGTGGAGAGGAGGGGTGGGAGGGGAGAAAAGGGGAGTGGAGGGGTGGGAGGGGAGAAGAGGGGAGTGGAGGGGTGGGAGGGGAGAAGAGGGGAGGGGAGAGAGAAGAGCGGAGAGGAGGGGTGGGAGGGGAGAAGAGTGGAGTGGAGGGGTGGTAGGGGAGAAGAGTGGAGTGGAGGGGTGGGAGGGGAGAAGAGGGGAGGGGAGAGAGAAGAGTGGAGAGGAGGGGTGGGAGGGGAGAAGAGTGGAGTGGAGGGGTGGGAGGGGAGAAGAGGGGAGAGGAAGGGTGGGAGGGGAAAAGAGGGGAGGGGAGAGAGAAGAGTGGAGAGGAGGGGTGGGAGGGGAGAAGAATGGAGTGGAGGGGTGGGAGGGGAGAAGAGTAGAGTAGAGGGGTGGGAGGGGAGAAGAGGGGAGGGGAGAGAGAAGAGCAGAGGAGGGGTGGGAGGGGAGAAGAGTGGAGTGGAGGCGTGGGAGGGGAGAAGAGTGGAGTGGAGGGGTGGGAGGGGAGAAAAGGGGAGTTGAGGGGTGGGAGGGGAGAAGAGTGGAGTGGAGGGGTGGGAGGGGAGAAGAGGGGAGGGAAGAGAGAAGAGTGGAGAGGAGGGGTGGGAGGGGAGAAGAGTGGAGTGGAGGGGTGGGAGGGGAGAAAAGGGGAGTTGAGGGGTGGGAGGGGAGAAAAGTGGAGTGGAGGGGTGGGAGGGGAGAAGAGGGGAGGGAAGAGAGAAGAGTGGAGAGGAGGGGTGGGAGGGGAGAAGAGTGGAGTGGAGGGGTGGGAGGGGAGAAAAGGGGAGTGGAGGGGTGGGAGGGGAGAAGAGTGGAGTGGAGGGGTGGGAGGGGAGAAGAGGGGAGGGGAGAGAGAAGAGCGGAGAGGAGGGGTGGGAGGGGAGAAGAGTGGAGTGGAGGGGTGGTAGGGGAGAAGAGTGGAGTGTAGGGGTGGGAGGGGAGAAGAGGGGAGGGGAGAGAGAAGAGTGGAGAGGAGGGGTGGGAGGGGAGAAGAGTGGAGTGGAGGGGTGGGAGGGGAGAAGAGGGGAGAGGAAGGGTGGGAGGGGAAAAGAGGGGAGGGGAGAGAGAAGAGTGGAGAGGAGGGGTGGGAGGGGAGAAGAATGGAGTGGAGGGGTGGGAGGGGAGAAGAGTAGAGTAGAGGGGTGGGAGGGGAGAAGAGGGGAGGGGAGAGAGAAGAGCAGAGAGGAGGGGTGGGAGGGGAGAAGAGTGGAGTGGAGGCGTGGGAGGGGAGAAGAGTGGAGTGGAGGGGTGGGAGGGGAGAAAAGGGGAGTTGAGGGGTGGGAGGGGAGAAGAGTGGAGTGGAGGGGTGGGAGGGGAGAAGAGGGGAGGGAAGAGAGAAGAGTGGAGAGGAGGGGTGGGAGGGGAGAAGAGTGGAGTGGAGGGGTGGGAGGGGAGAAGAGTAGAGTAGAGGGGTGGGAGGGGAGAAGAGGGGAGGGGAGAGAGAAGAGCAGAGAGGAGGGGTGGGAGGGGAGAAGAGTGGAGTGGAGGCGTGGGAGGGGAGAAGAGTGGAGTGGAGGGGTGGGAGGGGAGAAAAGGGGAGTTGAGGGGTGGGAGGGGAGAAGAGTGGAGTGGAGGGGTGGGAGGGGAGAAGAGGGGAGGGAAGAGAGAAGAGTGGAGAGGAGGGGTGGGAGGGGAGAAGAGTGGAGTGGAGGGGTGGGAGGGGAGAAAAGGGGAGTTGAGGGGTGGGAGGGGAGAAAAGTGGAGTGGAGGGGTGGGAGGGGAGAAGAGGGGAGGGAAGAGAGAAGAGTGGAGAGGAGGGGTGGGAGGGGAGAAGAGTGGAGTGGAGGGGTGGGAGGGGAGAAAAGGGGAGTGGAGGGGTGGGAGGGGAGAAGAGTGGAGTGGAGGGGTGGGAGGGGAGAAGAGGGGAGGGGAGAGAGAAGAGCGGAGAGGAGGGGTGGGAGGGGAGAAGAGTGGAGTGGAGGGGTGGTAGGGGAGAAGAGTGGAGTGTAGGGGTGGGAGGGGAGAAGAGGGGAGGGGAGAGAGAAGAGTGGAGAGGAGGGGTGGGAGGGGAGAAGAGTGGAGTGGAGGGGTGGGAGGGGAGAAGAGGGGAGAGGAAGGGTGGGAGGGGAAAAGAGGGGAGGGGAGAGAGAAGAGTGGAGAGGAGGGGTGGGAGGGGAGAAGAATGGAGTGGAGGGGTGGGAGGGGAGAAGAGTAGAGTAGAGGGGTGGGAGGGGAGAAGAGGGGAGGGGAGAGAGAAGAGCAGAGAGGAGGGGTGGGAGGGGAGAAGAGTGGAGTGGAGGCGTGGGAGGGGAGAAGAGTGGAGTGGAGGGGTGGGAGGGGAGAAAAGGGGAGTTGAGGGGTGGGAGGGGAGAAGAGTGGAGTGGAGGGGTGGGAGGGGAGAAGAGGGGAGGGAAGAGAGAAGAGTGGAGAGGAGGGGTGGGAGGGGAGAAGAGTGGAGTGGAGGGGTGGGAGGGGAGAAAAGGGGAGTGGAGGGGTGGGAGGGGAGAAGAGTGGAGTGGAGGGGTGGGAGGGGAGAAGAGGGGAGGGAAGAGAGAAGAGTGGAGAGGAGGGGTGGGAGGGGAGAAGAGTGGAGTGGAGGGGTGGGAGGGGAGAAAGGGGAGTTGAGGAGTGGGAGGGGAGAAGAGTGGAGTGGAGGGGTGGGAGGGGAGAAGAGGGGAGGGAAGAGAGAAGAGTGGAGAGGAGGGGTGGGAGGGGAGAAGAGTGGAGTGGAGGGGTGGGAGGGGAGAAAAGGGGAGTGGAGGGGTGGGAGGGGAGAAGAGGGGAGGGGAGAGAGAAGAGTGGAGAGGAGGGTTGGGAGGGGAGAAGAGTAGAGAGGAGGGGTGGGAGGGGAGAAGAGGGGAAGGGAGAGGAAAGAGAGAGAGGAGAGGAGGGCGGGGGACTAAAAATGTCTCCCAGGGGCTAAGGTAGTGAAGAATTCATATTTAATGGAGACAAAGTTTTAGATGAGAATGACGAAAAGAGTTCACAAGATAGTGACAATAGATTTATGAGTGTACTTCATATGGCCGATCTGCATCGTGAAAGGAGGCCTATTTGCAACCCCAGCACATTTTACCTTCATTTTCGAATTGGGGGGCGGGGCCGGAAGTCACAGGGGCATCTTTTTCTAGTTTGAACTTCTCACCTGCGCCCTCCCAGTCCAGGACCAAGAACTTCTTGATCTAAATGAGTCAGATGAGCGGGCCCTGAGGCCCACATGTCCGGGCACCTCAGGGCCCCTGTACGGATGGGACTTTTTTTAATGGAACTTTTGGGGATGTGACTGTAGGCCCCAGGGTCCGAGCTTACATATCTGCTTCTCATCCAGGAGGTTGCTGGGAGAGTCGTCACTGAGCAGGACTTCACTGGCTGGCGGGCCATGTGTAATGGTCTCATTTTCATCTGGTTTCAGGTTCCAGAATGGAGGGGTGACAGGGAAAGAAGAAAAGTTATCTTATAGCCTAGGACAAGGGGGTAAAACCACCACCCAGGTCAGCTAAGAGGCTGGTTCTAGGAGTCCCTGACTGCACTGTCTCTCCCCCACCCATCACCTAAGCTGGTCTTTTCTCCTCATTGTTCCAGTCCATCCCTGAAGATCCTGAACCCATTTCACCCATTCCCTCCTGTGGTGTGAAGTGGCACTTCCTTTGGCTTGTCCTAAGCACCCTACCTACTTTTTAACTGTAGTTGGGTCCGCTTCATGCTGTATGAGGGTCACAAGAAGCCATGGGGGGGTGACCACTCTTCCCTGATGACAGTACCCACTTCCTTGCCTGCTTTTCCTACCCGGAAGGGAACAGACCTGTCAGCAAAATACTGCCCTCCAGGATCTGATCCTGCGTCATGCAAAAGGTCCCATCTGTGAGGATGCTATTGTGACTGTCTTCCAGATCCAGGCCCGAGTACAGATGCAGTAACTCAGGGTAGGGGACCTGCTCCACGATCACTGCAGGGAACACCGAGGGGTCTTCCAGCTATGGAGAAGACAGGGATTGGCTTCAGTCCTCTACTCCGCCCGCCACCTCCCGTTCAAACACCCGCCAACCCCTCGTTCCCCATCAGAATCTGGCTCTTCTGGCAATTCCTTACGCTTGCAGCCTTTAAGGGACTGGGCTGACAGTGCTGTGGCCCAACCTCACTAGAGGAAGCCCTGAATGGGCTGTTGATGAAGGGCGCTGGCACTGAACTGAGCTCCCACGGCCAGTCTTGATTGGCAGCAGTTACAGGTCAACTGGCGGCTGATTTGGGGCTTTGTCTAGACTCTGGCAAGCTCATTAGGCCAAATGAGAAAGGAACAGTCAATGGCAAAAGCTGCTGGATAGCCAGGTGAGGGACTCCGTGTACCAGCTTAAATAAACGATTGCTATCTGGGGACTCAGCCTGTGTCCAGTGAAGACAGAAAAATAGTTATAAACTAGAGAGGTGGATGGGGCCTGAGCGATAGTGAAAGGGCACATGCCTTTCACTGGCCAACCGGGATTCAATCCCCAGCACTGCGTATGATCCTCTGAGCCTGCCAGTAGTGATCCTTGAGTGCAGAGCCAGGAGTAAGCCCTGAACACTGCCAGGTATGGCCCCCAAACCCCCCCAAAAAAAAACAACAAAGAGAGAGGTGGAAAGGTAAGAGCCTGGGCCCCACCTGAAGAGGGGGAGAGGAATTTTAGCTTGACTCTATGGCTACATGGGGACACTGTTCATGCTAAAGAGGAAGGAGGGAACCCACGAGGGCAAAGATCAAGGTTTGGAGGAAAGAGAAGAGGGATGTTGCTAGGTAACGTGAGTTTGAGGTACCTTGGACATATCTGAAATGGAGATGTCGATCAGGGATTCAGAACTATGTGTCCAAGAGCTAAAAGGGCGGTCGCTAAATCCCTTGGCGTGGATAAGAACAGGAGGAGAACTCTACCCCTAGAGAACACAGTTGTTGCAAAAGCAAAGAAAGTTAAATTTATAAAAGAGCATGATTGCAAATAGTTGAAAAAAACACATTAGGCCACAGAGATAGAACCAGAGTAAGGTGTTGGCCTTGTATGCAGCTGACCCTGGTTCAATCTCTGGTCGCACCACATGGCCCCCAAGCACAATACGGAGTGACTCTTGAGCACAGAGCTGGAAGTAAGCTCCAGAGCATTGCTTGGGGTAGCCCCAAACTCTCCTCAAAATAAAAGGAATTTATAGAAGGAAATATACCAAGATTTTGTTACTATGTTTTTTCTTTTCCTTTGGTCCTGGGACATCTGATGTTTTTCTCCTTTTTTACACTTTGCAAATGTTCTTTCTTTAAAACTTTGACACAGTCTCTCCTTTCTGGAGGATCAAAAAAACCCACCCCTTGAGTTTGGTCCCCTGAATGGAGAAGTTTGGGAGGCCGTTGGGGTCCCAGGCCTTATATTACAAATGATGTCAGTGTTGAAGATCAGAGGCATAACAGCAATCAGATTCATTAGATGTCTAATACAATAGTCAGTAACTTACTTATGTAACCGAATTAAATGTAAATAACATTATTTTAAATTAATTTATCTTTGGATGGGGTCTGGGGCCAGACCCAGCAGTGCTCAGAGCTCACTCCTGGTAGTACATGGCACCAGAGTCAGCTGCATGCAATGCAAGTGTCTTACTCCTGCCCCGTTTCTCCAGCCCTCCTACATTATGTTTTTTAAAGATGAAAAATTCTAGGGGCTGGAGCAGAGGTACAGTGGCTAGGACACTTGTCTTGCATGTAGCCAACCTGAGTTTGATCCTTGGCACTCTATATGGTCCCCCGAGCCTCGCCAAGGAGCCATCTCTGAGCACAGATCCAGGATTAAATCCTGATCTATGCCCCCATGTGTCCCCCAACCTCCAACAAAAGAAATTATAGCTGCCCTACCCATAGTTCAGGTGTTCCAGAGCCACATGTAACTGGTAACCCCAGACTGAACAGCATTCCCCAGAATTCTTGCATCTTACCAATTTCTACTGGACTGCATTAATCTAGTGCCAGACTGCCTGGTTTGAGACCAAGCTTGGCTACTCATTAGCAATATCATCTTGGGCAAGGGACTGATGCTTTCTGTGCATTGGTTCCCTCATTTATGAAGTTGAGTCAATCAGGGGAAAGGGGTGATGATGACCACACAAGGGGTGACATAAAGACCGTGGTGGAGAACCATGGGCACTTTGGGTGGCAGGGTACAGTACATCAATACCATAGACTTTAGAGGGCCGGAGAGATAGTACAGTGGGTAGGGTGCTTGCCTTGCACACGGCCAATCTGGGTTCAATCCTTGGCATCCCATGTAGTCTCCCAACCTCGCTATAAGTGATTCCTGAGTGCAGAGCTAGGAGTAACCTCTGAGCATCCCTGGTTGTGACTCCCACCCAAAAATAGACTTTAACTCTATCACAACCAATTAATTATAAAGGAAAATAGCTGACAATATTTGTTGCTAAAAAGACAATCTGAGATTTCAATCCCCCCAATTCAAAACAATCATGTTATTGATCCCATGGGCACTTTCTTTTTTTTTTTTTTTTTTGCTTTTTGGGTCACACCCAGCAATGTTCAGGGGTTACTCCTGGCTCATGCACTCAGGAATCACCCCTGGCGGTGCTCAGGGGACCATATGGGATGCTGGGAATTGAACCAGGGTCAGCCATGTTGGCTGCGTGGAAGGCAAATGCCCTACTCACTGTGCTATTACTCCAGCCCCCCATGGGCACTTTCAATAGAGTTTTCTCTATGCAGTGCCAAGGATAGAGCCAGGGCCTCACTTGTGCAAGGCATGTGCTCTAGCTCTCAACTATACCCCCTGAGGATATAGGCAAAATCCTCCTACGGGATTTTCTTTCTTTCTTGGTTTTTGGGCCACACCCAGCTATGCTCAGGGTTTACTTCTGACTCTGTACTCAGGGATCACTCCTGGTGAGCTCAGGGGCCATATGGGGGTTCGGGGAATCTAACCTGGGTCAGCTGCATGCAAGACAAATGTCTTACCTGCAGTATTATCTCTCCAGCATCCACAGGATTTCTTTAAAAGATTAATATGCATATGGTGTTTGGAACAGAGCCTGGCATAGAGTAGGTTCTCCTCAAGTCTTTCAGGTATCAGAGGCATCCAGAGATTGGTGGTCTTATTTTGTTCTTTGTTTTAGGGCACATCTGGCAGTGCTCAAGACTTACTCCTGCCTCTGTACTTAAGAATCACCTCTGGCGGGGATCGGGGATATGGGCTACTAAAGATAGAACCTGGGTTGGCTGTGTACAAGGCAAGCATCCTACCTGCTGTACTATCTCTCCAGTGCCCTGATATTTATTTTTTTTGCTTTTTTTTTGGGTCACACCTGGCGATGCACAGGGGTTACTCCTGGCTCTGCGCTCAGGAATTACTCCTGGCGATGCTCAGGGGACCATAGGGGATGCTGGGAGTTGTACCTGGGTCGGCTGCGTGCAAGGCAAACGCCCTACCTGCTGTGCTATCTATCTCTCCAGCCCCAGTGCCCTGATATCTTATTTCTTATGCTGAGTGGTGAGTTTACAGTGCTCATTTTATAGTTATTAATAAACAAATATAAAATAAGTCCTCATTTAACATCCTCTATAATTTCTTAAGAGCTGGAACTTTTCCTGGTTTTTTTTGGGGGGGGCACACTGGGCCGTGTTCAGGTCTTCCTCCTGGCTCTCTGCTCAGAGATCACTTCTGATGGGCTCAGGGGACCACATGGGATACCCCTGTTGGCCATGTGCAAGGCAAGTGCCCTATCCACTGTACTATCACTCTGGCTCGGAAACAGTAACTTTAAAAGAAGCAACATTTAACAAAAGTAGGTCAACATCATTTTGTTCAACACCAACAGAATTATTTTCTCCTCGATATTACATACACACACGATTTATCTACTCTTGTATTCATGATGCACTTTGCAATGAAATAATTTCTTAAAATATCAGATATATGAGGTGAGAAAGTAAACACAGGTGGAGCCTGTGCTGGAGAGAAGGAGTTCAGGAGATGGGAGGAAAGGGAAGAAGTTATTCTTCTTTCCTTTTCTTTATTGGACCATTCCTGGCTCTGCACTCAGCGATCACTCCTGGCAGGCTTGGGGAATTATATGTGGTACCAGGGGTTGAACTTGGGTGTGCAAGGAATGTGCCCTACCCACTGTACTATCTCTCTGACCTGAAAAGCTTTTCATTTAGAGTTGGGGAAGTCAAGTCAGAGAGATAGCTCAATGAGCTGAAGGCATGCTTTGTATACAGGAGACCTGGGTTCACCCTCCAGCACTGCATGATTCCCCCAGCACGATCCCCAGCACAGAACTGAGAGTAATCCCTGAGCACAGATATAGCTCCAAAGTAAAACAAAAATGTAGGGACCAGGGGCTGGAGCGATAGTACAGTGGGTAGGACGTTTGCCTTGCACGCGACCGACCCAGGTTTGATTCTCAGCATCCCATATGGTACTCTGAGCACCACCAGGAGTAATTCCTGAGTGTAAAGCCAGGAGTAACCCCTGTGCGTTGCCGGGTGTGACCCAAAAAACCAAAAAAATGTAGGGGCCAGAGAGAAAGATAGTACAGGAGACAGAGCATTTACTTTGCACACAACTGACCATGGTTCGAGCCCCAGCTCTTAATATCATTTCTAGGAGTAAGCCCTGAGCACCTCTAGATGTGGCTCCAAAATCCCTCAACAATGTAGAATTGCAGAGGCCTGAAGAGGCTCTACAGACTCTACAGAGGCCTGAGGAGCCAGGAGATCTGATGTAAGAGCAGTATGGGTATCAGATGGTGCAGGGTGTTAAAGGAGGCAGACAAGAAGAGATTAAGTATGGGGTAGGGGTGACCCTGGCAAAGAAGAGGCACACTTCTTTCTCCAAGGCCAGTATGACAGAAAAAAAGAATGGGTGGTATTATCCATAAAAAGGAGAAGGGAAGGGAATTGAAGGAGGCCTTGAGCTTCTCTTTAGATGGGAGTGCTGCTCAGATGTGGATAGGGAGGTAAGATTAGCCTCTAGGGAGCTAGAGCAATAGCACAGTGGGTAAGGTATTTGCCTTGCATTCAACCAACCCAAGTTTGATCCCCGGCCATCACGTATGATCCCCTGAGATCGCCAGGAGTAATTCCTGAGCGCAGAGCCAGGAGTAACCCCTGAGCACTGCCAGGTGTGACCTCAAACCCCAAAACAACAGCAACAAAAAGAATAGTTTTTATTGGGACTAGGGAAATAGGTCAAATGGTCAGAGTGCATATTTTGCATGCGGGAAGACCGTGTTTGATCCTTGGCACTCCACAGTCTCCCTAACACTCAGCTAGGAGTAGTAGCATATTTTGCATGCGGGAAGACCGTGTTTGATCCTTGGCACTCCACAGTCTCCCTAACCACTCAGCTAGGAGTAGTCCCAGAGGACCTGGGTGTGTCCCCCAAACAAAACGTTAGCTTCTCTGAGGCCCAGAGAGGTAGCTTGGAATAAAGTACTTGCCTGGCACATGTGAGACTGTGGATCTGATCTCCAACAGGAAAAATACCTACACATATACATATATAGTGTGTCTATAAAGAACATAAACAGGACCAGAGTGGTAGTATAGTGGGTAGGGCACTTGCCTTGCATGCAGCTGACCCAGGTTCCATTCCCAGCATCCCATATGGTTCTCCATGCACTGCCAGGAATAATTCCAGAGTGCAAAGCCAGAGTAATCCCTGAGCATTGCCGGTGTTGCCCCCAAACAGACCAAAAAGTATGAAGAATAAATATTAATGGTTGCTTGGGGTTGGAATGATAGCACAGCAGGTAGGGCATTTGCCTTGCATGCACCCGACCCGTGTTTGATTCTCAGCATCCCATATGGTCCCCCGAACACCGCCAGGAGTAATTCCTGAGTGCATGAGCCAGGAGTAACCCCTGTGTATCGCCAGGTGTGACCCAAAAAAGCAAATAAATAAACAAATATTAATGGTTGCGGAAAGGATTAAAAAGACGTGAGGAGGGGCTGGAGAGATAGCACAGTGGGTAGGGCATTTGCCTTGCATGCGGCCTACCCGGGTTCGATTCCCAGCATCCCATATGGTCCCCTGAGCACCGCCAGGGGTAACTCCTGAGTGCAGAGCCAGGAGTAACCCCTGTGCATTGCCAAGTGTGACCCCCCAAAAAAAAGCAGTAAAAAGAAGTGAGGAATGATCATCAGACTGAGAAACAGGAAAGGTTGGATTTTCCTCCCTTCTGCTCCCCTGCTATTTAGAGGCCAGCAAGAGGGAGCTGTATAGAATGCGCTGTGTGCTCACATCCCGCTAGGGGGCAGCCTCTGGTAGGTACTAAGATTTGGACCAAAATTTCTGGCCTCACAAGGAACTGAAGATTTGGGCTGGAGTGACAGCACAGGGAGGGGGGTAGGGTGTTTGCCTTGCAAGCAGCCGACCTGGGATCCATCCCCGCCATCCATATGAATTCCAAACAAAAGCGGAGTAATTCCTGAGTACAGAGCCAGGGATTAATCCCTGAGCATCTCTGGGTGTGACCCAAAAAGACAAAAAATAAAGGACTGAGGATAGAGATCTTGCCAATTAGGCTGTAGTACCCTTAAAGAAAAATCAACAGGTTGTTCTTTTGATAAAAAGAGAGAAGTGGCAGACAGTCGAGAGCAGGACTGGCCCAGAAGATACTGGAGCCAAAGTGCGATTAGAATTCAGGAGTCGTAGCTTCTACTACCCTATTAAATCCATCCTCTGGACCTGGGAGCCACTTCTCCAGTTTGGAGAAAGAGAGGAGGGGAGCAATCAGTGTACCCTGTGGGTACATCTGAATGTCCCTGTGCAGGAGAAGGTCTGGCACAGCAGAGACCTGGGATTTGTCCTTTTCAGTACTTTTATTTGTTTTTGTTTGGGGGGTCACATCCAGCAGGGCTCAGGACTTACTCTGGGCTCCTTATGGTACTCAGGGGACCATATACGGTGCTGGGGATCAAACGTGGGTCAGCTGCATGCAAGGCAAACACCCTACCTGCTGTACATTCTCTCTGGCCCCGGGGTGCCAACTCCCTCCAATCGGAAGACCCGTTTCCATTTTATCCCTCATGCTCAGATGGAGGCCAAAAGGACAAGTCCAGAAGACCCAACAACTGGGCCAGACACACAGGTATGCAGGTGCCAGGAGTTGGACTTTGCCCTGTGGTCTCAGAGGGTGGTGCTCACTCCTTTGTGTGTGCTCGTGCCAACAGGTTTCTCACTGACACTGGGGAGGTGGATGAAGTGAGCAAGAAGGTTGATTTGAAATGAGAACAAGGGTTGGCGTCTGTCTAGCTGTGTACTCAGCTATCCCTCCCCACTTCCCCTGCCGTCCCCTGCTGGCTGATATGCTAAGCAGCTGCTCTCTGCTAGTGGGCCATGAAAGTGAGTGAATCAGTGCACAGTTCTGTCTGGCATGCTGATTGTGTCTATTAGGCCATTTTTCATGGGCTGGCCAGGCTCTGCATCTAGGATCCTACCTGGCAGATATCATCCATCCCGTTGCTTGCAAACTCAAAGACCATGTCGTTGGGCTTCAGGGTAACAGCCATGCTGGGTCTCAGAGCTGACAGCGGGGTCTGTAGGGCCCTCTGGGGCTTCGGGGAATCTTCCAACAAAGAGCTGCTATGTGCCACCGGAACGGGACCACAGCGAAACCAGGGGAGGTGAGACCAGGAGGAGGAGGTGGTCTAAGCTAGGTACAAGGATGCATGATAGGCTGGGCCAACTGCAGGATGGACCTAGGGAGAGAAGGGGAAGTGTACGGTAAGTTATCTTCCTTCACCTCTGTTCCCAGGATAGTTGTTGAACCAGGATAATAGCCACAGGGAAAGCAAGACACGCAGAGACAGGTAAGGAAGGGAAAAGAGGAAGTGAACGGAGCACTTTCGATGTCAAGAGACCCTGTCTGGGTGACCAGTATCTGCATCTGACCTGACCGCAGACACTCTCAGCCTCCCTCCCGCTTCTGCCCCCGTCTAGGAAAGAGACATTGGGCTCTCCCTACCCTCTGCTCCAGGATCTCATGGATGGGGGTACAGCACCAGGTATTCCTACAATTAATTCCCTTGGGCTGGGAAGAATTCCAGAGCTCAGGGACATGGAGATATACAGGATGTTTCTCCAGATGCTGCCTGCCTTGGTTTACCTCGGGTGCATGGGGGAGGGGCACTTAGCTCTGAAGAGTAGAAGTTCCAGGGGAAGAAGTATCCTGTGGGGGTTGTACGGTGTGAGGACAGGGTAAGATGGGATTCCCAGGCTCTGCCATGCCTCCAGAGAGCCTGGAGACAAGAGGCAGGTGGGCCTAGACCTGTCACTGCCCTGCCACCAATGCCAGGCAGGCAGCCAGTGCGCACTGGAGAGGACCGTCTCTGGGCCATGTGGTTTGTGCTCTTTCTTCATCTTAGCTTTCAGTTTCAAGACTGAACTGTCACCCTGGGAACTGGTAAGGAGAGCCCCAGCTGGGGGAAGGGCCCACAGAACCTTTCCCCGTCCCCTAGGGCCAGCTTAGAACCGGCCCCCGCCCTCACCCCGCCTTTTCCAGGAAGTCTGTCTGCTGCAGCACACACAACCACCCCTCTCTGGATGCCTTATATACGGCGCCTCAAACCTCACATGATACCCTGGCAGGACCTCCAGTAGTTTCCTTTGCTGCTTGTTCCTCTGTACCTTGTCTGCGGTCACCCCACTGCGGCCTGCCTTCCAGAACCCCCTTCTGCCACCCTCTCCACCACACCTCACACTTAAGCTTCTCCACTTCCGGAGGCCACATCTTTGGACCTCAGACTTCTATTTTCAGGGGCCTCTGTCAGGGGTGGGTCTGGGGACATCTACCAACATTCTGGTTCAACTCTTTTTCCCATGTGGGCCATACCCAGCAGTGCTCAGGGCTTACTCCTGGCTCTGTGCTTAGAGATCAGTCCTACTGGCACTCAGGGGACCATATGGGGTGCTGGGGACCAAACCCAGATTGGACTACCCACTGTACTATCTCTCTAGCCCCTTAATTCAATTCTGGACATCTGAACAAGTGGGTTCACATAGAGTCAGAGCAACACGTTCGAGCCCAACCTCCTGGACACTCTGAGCAGTGCTGGGATAGCCAAACCTTTTCTCAGTCCAAAAAGAAATGAGGAACTTCCGAGAGGGGCAAAGAGAAGGAAGGGGGTGGGGGCCACGGGTGACCTCTCTGATGACCGCTCTCCCCCATAGGAGACACCCAGGCCTCTCCCACTTCCTTTCCGTTAGCCCACAGGGTTGTCTCCGCCCTCTCCCCACCCCTACCTTCACCCCACACCTTTCCACTCACCCCCACCAAAAATATTTTAAAGGCTTTTTAACTCGACCTGTTTGAGCTTCCGAGGGTGTGAGCAAGAAGCCAAGCCTGACCCGGACACAGAGTTGGAGAACACTCTGTGCCCCAGCCCTGAATGTGATGTCTCCTGAGGCCTACGAAGCCTCCCAGAGTCGTGGATGCTTGGAAGGTCTGTCTCCCTAACTAAAGCACCCTGAGATCCACATTCTGTGACTCCTGGCCCCCTAGAGGCCAGTTATCTGGCCCAGAACCAAACAAAAAAACATCACTTTCATCTAATCCCATTATGTCTAAACATGAAACTTCTCTTGGTGTCTGTCCCCTCCCCCCACACCAGGTCATTCTGCATTCTGAGGACAGACAGGGACAACTGGGCTGGTCATCAGTGACCTTTCAGCATCTTGCACTTCTCCTGACAGGGAGCAAGAAGTTTGTGTACATGGAACAGATGTGTGAACAGATGTGTGGGTGAGTGGATGGATGGATGAGTGGGAACAGTGGTCCGGGGTATAGGAAGACCATGGTCCAGTGCATAGGGGGACAGTGGTCCAGGGCATAGGGGGACAGCGGTCTGGGTTATGGGGAGACAGTGGTAAAGAGCATAGGGGGAGAGTAGTCTGGGGGATAAGGGACAGTGGTCCGGGGCTTAGGGGAACCATGGTCCAGGGTATGAGAGATGGAAGATGGGTGGAGAATGCTCTGTGCCCATAGATGGATGAGTGAATGCATGGGTGGACAGGTGAGTGGATGGATGGATGGATGGATGGATGGATGGATGGATGGATGGATGATGAGTAAGTACCATGTCAGTATGTTCTTTGGAAACAAATAGAAAAAGTAGGCAGTGTGTATCGATGCACACTGGGTGTGGGGTGAATGTCACACACATATATGTATTACATCTGCATATTTTGAAGGGTTTGGGGTGTTTCCTGGTGATGCTCAGGGCTTATTCCTGGTTTTGTGTGCAAGGATCAGTTTTGGTGGTGCCTGAAGCACCATATTTGGTGCCAGGTACTGAACTGGCTCAGTCACATGCAAGGCAAGACATGTCTTACCCCAGTACTATCCCTATGGCTCCTACATCTGTCTATTTTTGCCTTCTGTTTTATACAAGTACACTATCTGTGTTCACTGTCGGAATAAAAACCTCCCACTAGATATGCACAAGGGAACAGGTGTTCCAGGTCCCCAATGGGGGGGGGGGGCTTGTGTTGCACAGAGAGCCTCTGTGTAGCCAAGAGCTGCCCTCGGCCGACCAGCAGAGCCACAAGCTCAGTCTTGCTTCCTCCTCCCCCAGGCCTGCCTTCGTGAGAATGACAGTCCGAGCTCATGCTGGCTCAAGAGCTTGTGGTGAAGAGGGGAAGGGTGCGGGGGGGGGGGAGCCCAGAGTTTTGCTGGGAAAAGGGCCACCACCACATCCACTGCTTACTCCACATAGCCCCCTCCTGATAAACGGAAAGTCCAATGTTCTCTGCCAAAATACGCATGAGGCCAGGGTGCCCTTGTTGTGAACCATCCAAAGTGCACTTTGCTGGCCAGGAGGCCAGAGAGGAAAGACAGCATGGTGCTGCCCTGGGTGGAACACTCTTGGTGATCAACACCCAGAGAAGAGAAAGAACAAAGGCTTTAGCTGCTGCCATATTTTGGCTATTGGAAACCATGCTGCAATAAACATTGGGCCCTATGAAAGACAAGTAATGGGCGACTGGGGACTGGAGAGATAGTATAGCGGGTAGGGTAGTTGCCTTGGATGTAGCTGACCCAGATTCAATCTCCAGCATCCCATATGGTCCCCCAAGCCCTGCAGGAGTGATCCATGAACACAGAGTCAGGAGTAAGCCATGAGCATAGGAGGGTGTGCCCCCCCCAAACAAACCAAAAAACAACAACAACAAAAAAAACAAGAAAAGAAATGGACAGGGGCTGGAGCAATAGTACAGCGGGTAGGGCGTTTGCCTTGCACGCAGCCGACCCAGGTTCGATTCCCAGTATCCCATATGGTCCCCCGAGCACCGCCAGGAGTAATTCCTGAGTGCAGAGCCAGGAATAACCCCTGAGCATTGCAGGGTGTGACCCCCCAAAAAAGCAAAAAAATATAGACAAATATAGAGGCACGATTCAGACATAGAGGGTCTGCCTTGCAAACAGGAGGCTGCTGAGGCCTCGGGTTTGATCCCAGTACCGTGATCACCCAGCAAGGTGATCCCAGCAGCTCAGCAGTTTGGGATCACTGACACCACCAAGTACATCATCTCTGTCCACACCACAAGCAGGTGTCAAAACCAGGTGACTACTAAAGTGTGAGATCCTCAGTGAACATCACAACTGTGTACGCAAGGACCACCACCCAGACTATGGACATCTGATGAGTTATCACCTTCCAAGTGTGAGCCCCCTCACCAAATGTGTGACCCTGCAGCAGTGAGGGCGTGCGGGAGCACCACAGCTGAAGTTTGTGACACTCAGAAAGCTGTGCTAGCCAACTCTGATACCCAGTAAGTGCAAGCCTGTGAGAAATTATCTTAGAAATAATGGGGAAGGACTGGAGCGATAGCACAGGGGGTAGGGCGTTTGCCTTGCGTGTAGCAGATGCAGGTTCAATTCCCAGCATCCCGTGTGGTTCCCTGAGCACTGCCAAGAGTAACTCCTGAGTGCATGAACCAGGAGTAAACCCTGTGCATTGCCGGGTGTGACCCAAAAAGCAAAAAAAAAAAAAAAAAAAAAAAAAAGGAAAGGGAACCGGTGGAGAACAGGATAGAGAAACAGATCAACTGCAGTCTATTTTCTATTGCTGTTTGATTTGCTCTTGATCCAAAAAGCAAAAAAAAAACCCCACAAAACAAAAAACAATAAAGTTGTCAACTGGATGTGGGTTGAACGAGCCCAGGATTGAGAGGGCTTCTGAGTCTGGGCCCAGCAGTCCAGGCAGATCCTGGCTGTTGTCTGAGACTAATGCATAGGTCAAGGGGCGTAGGAAGAAGTAGCTGGTCAACTCACACACACCCCCACCCCATGAAACCTTCCAGTTCAGAAGGCTCCTCTTCAGATGTTTGAGGATTTGAAAGCGAAAGGTGGAGAGAAGTTCATTTGCATGCTCACTCACTCTCCCCAGCAGAGGAATGAATACCTCCCCCAAAACCCCTCAAAATAAACTTTTCCCAGGATCCCGAAACTAAAGAAACCAGAGAAAACAAACACATGGAAAACGGTGAGGTGCACAGTGGTCTCTTCTCT